TTTCCTGTAAGCTGGGTGCTTGGGCAGCCGCTCAGGAGAGCTTCAAATGCCACCCAGACGGTTAGCAGAGCACCCAAAGCTAGAGTTTTGTTTCTACTGGTGGTGCACATTCTGTCATGTCTTAGTGCACAGAAAAAAAAATTCCTCATGTGAATCCATTCATGGATGGAAAGACTGACAGGAACATTGGTCTGGACATGTGGAAACAAACTCAGGCTTATCTAGCGATGGCTTACTTATTTTAGGCAGTCTGTAACCACCCCCAGGGGAATTTGAACCTCCAACCAGGAGCTGCTACCACTTGAGCTATAAAGCCGGTTGGCACTCAGTTTAAGCTGTAGAGCTCCCTTGCTCTTATCTCTCGCTGTAAGTGGTCTAAGTGCCACTACCTGGGACAGGGAACCACATGAGGTGTGTGGGTTACAAGTGCATTTCTGAAATGAAGCTGCAGGCCAATTTTGGATGGGCAGGTAAGCGTCACTGCCGCTGTTTACAATGTTTCCTACTCCAGTTTGCACCCAGGGAATAGTGCGCACTGACAGACCGCGAGAGTGGCAATATGCCAGTCTTGTTGCTGCAGGCTTGATGGGGGCTGTGCTTTGGTAGGCTTTGCACAAGGGGCTGAGGAGTTGTGTGTTGATCTGTGCCTATGAGGCAGAGCCCCTTCCTCCCTACACTCATACATCCCTGTCCCCCGGCCCCACAATAGGCTTGACACTGTCATTTTCAGCTGACGTCTTATTTACAACACGTGCCATAATGTCACCGCATACCCTGTTTTGTTCCCTACCACGCTGGAACTTTTGTTCTCCGCAGGGATCTGCAATTTGCTGAACAAAGACGGCTGACGTGCCGTATTAAACATTTATTTGTCGGTTTGTTTCCTCTCATTGTCTGGGGCCTCCCTCGCTTTGCCCTCCAGCTCTGCCTCTGCGAGCGACACGTATCTATCCCAACGTGAGGGTAACACTTAGCACACGCTCCGTGCACAAATTGCCTCCGAGTCCTTTGATTTTTACAGTTCACATCACTTACGGTCCAGTTCACACAGCTGTGACTCCTCTGGCCGGCGGGCGGCTGAGTCACCCTAGGCAGGCGGCAGAGGGTGCCTCGCGCAGGCAGCGCTTCACGAGTCCATGTCCTGCCACGTGCACAAGGGTTTTACCATTCTGGCCTCGCACTGCTTCGCATGATGTCTCCCCTACCCCCCCTCACACACACACAGCTCTTAGCACTGCCCAGGGTGTGCAGTGCGGTGCTCCAGCAGTGATTGAAAGAGTCCAGGGCTCTGGCCACCCCCGCTGCTACTTCGGCAGTAGCCTCTTTGAATCACCAAGCCCCGGGGTAACAGCCCCCTTCAGGCCCTCCTCCCTTTCAGCGGGCCTGCCGAATTAACACCCCTCATCTCTTTCAGCCTCCTGTTGAGCATCTGGCAGTAGGCCTGAGCAAAGCCAGGATCCGGCCCAGTCCATCTGCTCTAGCAGCATCCTGCTTCACCCAGTCTTTGCCCTTTTACGCAATATGCTTTTAAACCCCTTTTACCTTGTGCGCCGAGACCCCTCTTCAGCTTGGAGCTTTTGCAATTAAAAAGCTGCCTCTGCGCAGGCTGGATCCCAAAGGCTCTAGGCAATTGATCTACTGGGGCCAGGTCCTCTCCACTCCCCTAAACATTCTTACATACAACATACCTGTGGCCCCTTCCATCACCCTCCCTTTGGAGCTCCAGACTCTCCCACACAACATGGCTCGGCGGCCTGGCCTCCTCCTTCTCTTCCTCCTTTAATCCATAGGCCTGTTGAAACAGATCAGTCTCTTTCATGCAACAGCTGTGCTCTACTCTGAGCCAATGGTCCATCGGACTCCTTCACTAAATAAGGAAGAAATTGGGCAGGTGGGGGGAAGGAATAGAATTGTATCCTAAAAAGCCACAAACTGACTTCGATGCTATATTGGGCAGAATAGGCAAAGCTTGCTGGTTTTCACTCGACAGCCACAAAGCAGGCAAAAGAAAACCCATTGCATTTCCTTGCCAGACAGAGTGTGAATGCTGGAGCTCTGAGCAGAATTAATAACCACCCAGGTAATGAATCCATGAGCCTCATAAAAAATGGCACATTTTTCTTTGCAAGCTACTTCTGCAAGCAACAATAGACCATGGAGACCAGCAGATGATGAATACAATAACTACAATATACAAGTGTCCTATGCGGTGCCATAGATCTCTTTGAGGTAAGTTTAGTGACATTGCAGCTACAGATTGAACCTTTCGAAACCAGGACTCTCTGGTCTGGCAACATCCGTGGTTCCAGGACAAGAGAGTGCCGGTGGGTGGCTGGCAGCTGGGAGCCTAGCGGGCAGGCAGGGCAACGGGCTGCCAGCAGGGCTGCCTGGCAGGGGTGGGAAGTGGGCTGGTAGCAGGCTCCAGCTGGCAGCCAGGCCAGAGCTGGTGGGGGGAGGGGCAGTAGCCAGGGAGTCAAAAATCACCTCCTGTGCTCTGGCAAAACCCCTCATCTGGGATGGGTCCGGTCTTGAGAGTGCTGGATCAGAAAGGTCCAATGTGTTCTAAACTTTACCGGTATGTCAATAAACCCATCAAGGATTAGGGTTGCCAGATGGTTTCAACAAAAATACCGAACACACATAATCTCAGATTAGGGGGAGGGGACTGGCCGAGGGGGAGTAGGGCTGGTGGGGGAGATCTGGGGAGAACTGGCTGGTGGGGAGCAGGGCTGGTCAGGAGAGGGTGGGGGGCAGCTGGGCTGGCTGGGGGAGAACTGGCCAGCAGGGAGCAGGGCTGGCCGGGAGGGAGCTGGGGGAAGCGGGGCTGGACCAAGGAGCGGGGCTGGCTCGGGAGCATGCAGATCCCAAGGCGCTACCTGTTCCTCACATAGTCCCAGCGGGACGCACAGGTGAGTCCAGCCCCGGGGATTCCATCTCCTCCAGCGCTACCCTCCCCATTGCATAGTTGTGTACTGCCTGGCTGGTAGACACTCTTACACAGCGTGAGCATGTCTACAGCCAGGCAGTATGCAACTACATACTGATATTCATAATAATAACAAACTTACTTAATTAGAAAATAACAGACATTTATATGTCCGGTATTTTCTCAATTTGTTTCCCCGACAGAAAGCTCAAATACCAGACTGTCCAGTTCAATACCGGACACCTGGCAACCCTATCAAAGATAATAATTGTGACCAAAATGACTATAAAGATACTTATGGAAAATACAACACATTTCTTGAAGCAAAGGAGCAAAATAGTCGAGTTGTCTAATAAGTTGCTAACATGGTTCCAGCCAAGAACTAGTAAGGTACCCAGGGATAGCAAAAGAAGCCTGCAGGTGCCAGTATGAAGGAAGAAGCTGTATACTTTTGATTTGCATCACCAGGCCTCCTTTTAATCAGCGCTGAATACCTTAAAATGGCCAACCAATTAAAACAGCAACAAAAAACCCACCTGCCCTAAGAAACCAAATTGTGTGGGACAGGCTCCAAGTTTTCTTTCTAGGCACAAAAATGTTTACAAAAAAATTCTTCCAGTTGGCTGATCACAGAGCGTTAGACTGCCAACAAAGGAGTATGTACAGTTGTGAAATATGGGATTTTGCCACAGGGCAACCACCACCACCAATCTCTCCCAGACACGCAACGTTTGTTAAGTCTGGGCAATCCGTTTCCTTTCCTCCTAGAATGTTTCTCTGTTTAATTTTAATAGAGCACTATCAGAGAGCCAGCCTCTCATTTCCCTGAGCCCGGGTAAAACACGGGTGCTTTCAGACATGGGGACCCCTGACGAGGCAAAGTAAAATCTGATCTATAGCTTTACCTAGCAGTCAGGTGGCATTTAGCTCATGCACTAGAGGCACATGGCTTTAGCACCTAAATTCACCAGTCTAATCCCTCCTGCTAACAACCACGGCCCGTTGGCTTTCCACATGTTTAAGGGAACTAGGCCAGTTTGAACGGTTCATCCCATGTCACAAAATGGTTGCTGTGCAAATCTTTCTTAGCCAATAATTTACACTCAATGCTTCACAAATCCACTGGCCTGCCTCTTAAGCAAGCAGCAAGTTTCTGTCACAGTAGGACAGGGAGAGGAGAGGGGAGTTGTTGTTAAGAGAAGGCTGCAACCTTAGATTTGTCTCAGACAGGTCACCATGATAGTCTGTAACTTTAAAACCAAAGAGCCATCCTGTGGCATCTTAGGCTACGTCTAGACAGACGCTTTTTGTTGGGAAAAGGTTCGCGTTTTGTTGACCCGGTCGGGAACGCTGGCAGCCCTAGGTATGTGGCTGCTCCATTCCTCCAAGAAGCACCCGTGAGCTTGAGTGTTAGGAATACAGGCAGCAGGCATCTAGGCCCTTGCAAAGTAGCTCAGAACCTTGCTTAAATCATGCCGCTTTCCCCTTTCAGCTCGGCCATTACTCTTCCTCCCAGGCCCCAGTCACCATGACACCTCCATTTCCAGAAATTTCTCAGGTCTCTTACCTACTGGCTTGTATTATTTCACACTGTAAAGAAGGGCAACTCAATGCACAGCCCACAGGTGGGATCCTTTGAACATGGCCTCCACAGTGGCGAGGTATCTCGCAGGCAGGGTGAGCACTGAAAGATGCAAGCGGACAGGCTGGCTGGAACAGACGGGTACAGGGGGTTTCTAGCCTCCAGGGAGGAGGTGCCGGGAGCGCTGGGACATTGTGGAAAGTGCTTTGTATTCATGCCCACCAATGAGGCAAAAGGGAGGGATAGCTCAGTGGTTTGAGCATTTGCCTGTTAATCCCATGGTTGTGAGTTTAATCCTTGAGGGGGCCATCTAGGGGCAAAATTGGTCAAGGATGGTACTTAGTCCTGCTGTGAGGGCAGGGGACTGGACTTAATGATCTCTCAAGGTCCCTTCCAGTTCTATTGAGATGGTGTATCTCCATAAAAATATGCAACCACACTTAAGTTGCAGCCCTTGGCATGTGCTGTGACTGTCATTAGGGCCCCCTGGGGCTTCCAAAGTTGTGAGTAGCCCTGCTGTAAGGCATCTAGGGCTGCCACTTGCATAAGGTGTTGGAGAAAAACACATCCCTCAAATGCACAGAAATATACCTGTTGCTTTGCTACAACATGTCTCCAAGCCTATAATCCCTTGTTTTTTGTCATATTATTTATTGTTCATTTCACGTGCCCACTGTCGGGGGGAGAGAACGCTTCGCCATGCTGGAAATGGCACGTGCTTGCGCAGGCCTGACAGCTCACAAAGGAGGGCTGCCTCCGGAGCCGCTTCCTACGAAAGCTCTGTCAGTCGTCAGTTGTCCCCGAAACCTAGGGCTGCTCCCTTAGCCCCAGGACGTGGTTTCCATGTCCGGCTTTTAAACGCCGCTGCTGCAAATCAACGCTGTGCCTGAGAGGATGGAAGCCTGTACAGCTGGAGCAACAGGAGAGGAAAAGATTACAGTTTAAAATGTAAACAAACAAAAAAGGCAAGAAAGGAGGGGTGGGAACCTGGGGCTGCTCTTTTCAGATAACCAAGGCAGCTGCTTGAGTTTGTGGTTTCCTCCCAGCAAACTCCAGGCTGGGAGCCTGCCTGGCCTTTCTGCGGCACTCTTCAAGAGCTGCTCCGCCCCGGAGGAAAGGGAATGCCACCCCTCCCATAGCACAGGGTCTGTGTCGATGCAAGATCCCCCCCCGGGTCCCACAGCAACACAGTGTCAAGACAAGGACTTGCCCTTCCTTGCTCCCTACTTCTCCGTGTGCAAAATGGCACTGGCAGAATCAGGGCTTTTGTTACAGCTGGGGAAGCCAAGGGGCAGACATGCTGGCTAGGGACTCAGCTGAGTGCCTGGGAACTTGGGCTGGTCATGGCAGAGCTTCTTCCAGCCAGGAAACCAGGCTCAGGACATTCCCCTGCCTTGTGACTGACTCATGCCTCGTGCAATGTCACAGCTCAGGACTCTCGATCCCTGGATGTCCACAGAGAGCCTGGAAACACTATCACTCAGAATGGAAAGAGGTTGAAACCCCACTGCTCTAGATCTTCCCTGCCCTACCAGTGTCACTGCCTCCAGGGAGAGTTGAACCTGGGACTATGGGGGGCTTAGCATAGGAGCCTCCACAGCTGGAGCTATAAAGCCAGTTGACGCTCAGCTTAGGCTGTAGAGCTCCGTGGCTCTAATCTCTAGTTGCAAGTGCCACTACATGGGACAGAGAACCACTCTCGGGCTATGTCTACACTTGCAGCTTCCTGTGCAAGAACATCCTGCGCAAGGGTTCTTGTATAAGAAGTCTTGCAAAAGAAAACGTCCGCACTGCCATGTGCGAGCTGTGCTTTTGTTCAAGAGCACCCATGGCAGTGTGGACCCTCTCTTATGCAAGAAAGCTTCGACGGCCATTTTAGCTATAGGGGTTTCTTGCGCAAGAAATCCCTGCCGAGCGACCACACTGCCCTCTTGCACAAGAGCTCGTGCACAAGAGGGCTTACGCCTGATAAAAAAGAGCGTAGCTCTTGCGCAAGCAGCCCTCTCTTACCACGCAATACTGTAAATTTCCTTGCGCAAGAGCAGGTGAGCAGTGTGGGCGCTCTGGGGATCCTTGCGCAAGAACGGCCATACTTGTGCAAGAAGCCGAGAGTGTAGACGTAGCCCCGGTATGTGAGTTACACCAGCAGCAATTCACAGAAACTCGGGCGGCTGGGCTGGGCCTTGTGCAGGCGACCTGTCCCCTTTATGCGTCGCTAGGATGTGGGGGACCAGCTGGGGCTCTTCTGCACAGCTCATGATTTGGGGGTGAGTATCGGAGATGGGGACTGCATTTGTCTCAGCCGTTCAGGTCCTGGCTGTGCTGACAGAGCCGGGGCCTCTTCTCAAGTCAGGCAAGAGCTGAGGCCCAGAGCTTTGGCTCAGAGGTAGGGTTTGGAGGGAAGGGTTTGTTAACTGAGGGGGCAGACTGTGCTCACTCTCTCGCTCTCTCTTTCTGTAACCGTCTCTGTCAAGGGCAGAGCTGACTAGGCAGAGCCCCGCCCTGCACAGGACAAGATTGATAACGGCCCTCATCTCAGGAAAAGCATGAAATCGGCTTGAACAGGCCGTTCCAGACTCCGCCCCCGCGACAGGATTGGTTGGACACGTTTCCTCTCCCACCTCCCCTCAGGGATAAATCAGGTCCCCCACACCTGGAGACTGGCATTGCCTGGGGACAGGTTCCAGGACAGAGCAGCTCTGGCCTTTCACCTTCCTTCTCTGCCCTGCTGACGCGCCCCTCCAGGTTGCTCTGCAGGTGAAAATCATGGGGAAGTTGCAACTTTGGTTCCTTGTCATCGCTGGTATCTCAGGAGCCCTCGCCCAGGAAGGTAGGGCTGAGCTGGGTGCCCAGGGCTGGGTTAGTAAGGATTGCACATTTGGAGACTTGTTGGCTACGTCTACACTGGCGCGTTCTCATACAAAAACTCTTTTGCGGAAGAGTTCTTCTGCAAAAGCTCTTCCAGAAGAGAGTGTCTACACTGGCATGTGCTTTTGCACAAGAGATGTGCTTTTGCACAAGAGCATCCATGCCAGTGTGGACACTCTCTTGCACAAGAAAGCTCTAATGGCCATTTTAACCATAGGGCTTTCTTGCACAAGAAATTCATGTTGCCTGTCTACACTGGCCTCTTCTGGAAGAACTCTTGCACAAGAGGGCTTATTCCTGAATGGGAGCTTCAGAGTTCTTGCGCAAGAAGCCCTGATTTCATACATTAGAACGTCAGTTTACTTACACAAGAACACGTGACCAGTGTAGACAGGCAGCAAGTTTTTGCGCAAGAGTGGCTGCTTTTGCACGAGATCGCGCACAGCCCCTATGTCTTGACTTGGTCAGAGGTGATCTACTAGGGTGGCATTACAGACACAAATGAGAGAAGAGAACAGCACAAGTCTGCCAGGGGCAGGAAAGACCCCCACATTCCATCAGTCACAGGGCAATTGCTGGATGGAGGCCCTGTGCTGCGTTAATTAAAGGTCCTGTGAGTTTCTAATTATTACAGACGTTTTTCTAGCGTAAGGCAGCCCTGCCCCGCATCTGCCAGTGGCTAATGGTGAATGAACCAGTTGCTTTGCGCAAAAACTTTGTGGTTGTCTGTGTGCTAATTGCCAGGCGTGTTATTTGCAAACTCAGTAGAGTCACATACACATCTGGCACCCTAAAGAGGCCAATTTTCCAAATGTGAAAACAACCATGAGCTAAATCGACTGGGAGGGAAAAATTAAAAAGAAAAATGTGAGCAATAATTGGGGGTTGTTTAGAGGCTTTTGTTGGCTTCTCAAAAAAAGCCACTGTTGCCAAAAAGACTGAAAGCACCCTGGATAAAAAGGGAAGGGGAAGCAGAAAGGCACAGGTTTTTAGAACGAGAGTGCAGAGGCGAGCTAGGAGCATGATACTAAAGCTGGGGCAGAGTGGTCTGTCTAACGCCCAGTGTGCCAAAATGCTGTAAGAGCCACGGGCATGCTCATCAGGGCCAGGGTGCTACTAAGCCCACTGGTCAAGGGGACCCCGGAGATGCAATGTCAGACTGGCAGGGACCCACCTTTTCACAGTTCTGTGCTCCAAGGTGGCCCCAATTCATCCTAGACTAGGGTAATCAGCTTGGAGCTCTGCATCTCCAACACAAAGCTGGGCACTTGCAAGCGTTGCCAAGATATACATGAGTCTCTCTGGGGGTATGTCTACACTGGCACCCTAGTTCGAACTAGGGTGGTTAATGTAGGCATCCGAAGTTGCAAATGAAGCCCGGGATTTAAATATCCCGGGCTTCATTTGCACCTTCCCGGGCGCCGCCATTTTTAAATGCCCGTTAGCGCGGACTCCGTGCCCGGTACACGGTAGTTCGGAATAGAGAGCCTAATCCGAACTAACTACTCCGTGCCGCGTGTAGCCGCGGGCACGGAGTCCGCGCTAACGGGCATTTAAAAATGGCGGCGCCCGGCAAGATGCAAATGAAGCCCGGGATATTTAAATCCCGGGCTTCATCTGCAACTTCGGATGCCTACATTAACCACCCTAGTTTGAACTAGGGTGGTAGTGTAGACATACCCTGGCTCTAAACTTTGGCGCATAGCCTCCCTCTGGGCCAGAGAAGTGATTAGCAAGTGCCCAGTGAGTCAGGGCAGGGAGTATGGCACGGGGGTTTCCAATTGTATTGCAGAGGCAAGTTTATGCCGTGGTCGCTTAGTGGCCCATACGTACAAGAGTTCTGTGTTCTAGGCCTGCCCTTCATATGCTTCTGTGTGTGTTACTACTGAGCCAGACTCTGGTAAGGAGCTGCTTTGGGAAACTTTTCACCCACTGCCTGGGTGTGGTGCAACATTCCTTCAAATTTTTCTGTCTATGTGCAGAATAAATGTTGTTGTGTGCACCAAGGCAAGTGTGGATGTGCACCATCAATAGAAACACATGCTGCCAGCTGCAGGCGGTTGTGGGTGCTCTGCCAACCATCTGGGTGGCATTTGAATATCTCCTGGGTAACCACCCAAATGCACAGCTTACAGGGAACACTGGTGTGGTGTTACAAAACGGTCCCTGTCACAGCTTCCGACCTGTTGCAATTCCTGGTCGTCGGCATTACTTATTGCCCGGGCACAGTTTGCTACCTCATGATTCCCCATCTAGCCCCATCACATTCTCTTGCAATGGATGAGGGTCCTGCCTGTCAAAATTGGCTACCCCAGGAGCTCTCTACTGTCAATGTGGGCACAAATAAAGCAAGATGGCAGTGCAGCAGCCTCCTTTGGAAGCTCCACTCCACGAACAGGTGGTGCCCTGTGAAGAAGCGTGACAATGCTGGAGTGAGTGGCACAGCCAGTGCTGAGACAGGCAGGGCCCCTGGAAGCACGTCACCCCATTTCTCCCCCTCCCTCCCAGCTCCTACGCCTCGTCCCTGCTTTTGCCTTTCTGCTCTTCCCCTTGCCTTGCATCCAGCTGTTTGGACGACAACAGAAAGTTTGGTCCCCTCCACAAATTCTGCCCACCCCTCCCCTTTGATCTGCCTCCTTTCTCCTTCCACCAGACCCCTGTTCCCTCCCCCTCTTTATAGCAGGGAGCAGATTCTGATAGCAGGTGAGCTCAACAGCTTCAGCAGATATTTATTTTACCCCACCTCTCTCAGGCTTCTGCCCCTTCTGCTCCTCCCCCACCCAGCTGGGTGCCCCTTTCCTTCAGGGCTGTATCCCAGGGCTTCTTCACTCCCCCAGGTCACCTCTTTGCCCTCACTAAGCGCACTAGGGGTACGTCTAGACTACAGGCTGTCGACAAAGCTTCTGTCGACAAAGAGCATCTAGACTACCTCCAGTTCTGTCGGCAAAGCAAGCCGCTTTGTCGACATGAGAGTGTAGACGCAAAGGACAGGGTAGACACAGTAACGCCTTCTGCCGACAGAACTCTGTCGGCAAAAGGCGTTATTCCTTGAAAAATGAGTTTTACTGCCGTCGACAAAACTGCCAGGTTCTGTCGACGTTATGTCAACAGAACTTGGCGGTAGTGTAGACACAGGTATAGTTTTGTCGACAAAAGTCTACTTTTGTCGACAAAACCCTGTGGCAGAGCACCTACCACCGCCTGCGGTTGGCAGCATCTCTTTCTATTGGTGGTGCACATCCACACTTGCCTTGGTGCACACAACAACATTTATTCTGCACATAGACACGTGACTTCAGGCTTCCACACTGCAGCCCCTCTCTGCCGCCAGCTTCCTGGCTTTATACAACCTTGTCTGCTCCTGCTCAGCTGGGCTCCATCCACAATTGGGACTTGTCCCTCAAGCCTAACTCTCCCTCAGGCGGGTTATCCACTTACTCAGCCCCCTCTGAGACATTAACTCTTTATGGGCTAGTGGGGTGAACACGGCACTGCAGGTAGGTGTTTCTAAACCTCCTGCTTTCTGGGTGACCGGCGGCCGGGATTTGGACAGTGTGGGGGATGGAGGAGGGACTTCTGGGAGTGCTGGCCTACCACTGGTCAAAAAGGGAGTCGCTGGCATGTGTCAATCACTGCACAGCCTGCGCTCTGATTGGCTGGGGGGGGAGGATGAGCCCTATACAGTTGGCACTTTGACATGTGAGGGTTACTGAGTCGAGGGGGGTGGGAGTGGAAGGGAACAAGTCACAGAGCAGAGCAAGTACTGGAATGAAGAGCAGGGTCTGTAGCAAGGGGGGAGGGGTGACACCTCCGCCCCAGGACCGACACCCCACCCAACACCTCTCTCCTCTCTCCCAGACCTGTATCGAAAGGTGTTCGTTTTCCGGAACGACCCCAATGAGGCCTACGTGGTCGTGAAGCCGGAGCCGGAGTGGCCGCTGCAGAACTTCACTGTGTGTCTGAGATCCTATACTGATCTGACCCGGCCGTATGGCCTCTTCTCCTATGCCACTAAAGCCCAGTACAGTGAGATCCTCCTCCTCAAGCCCAAGCCTGGGGAGTACAGACTGTATGTAGGGGGGGCATATGTGACCTTCCGAGTCCCAGAGAACCGCATGGAGTGGGAGCACGTCTGTGCCAGCTGGGAGTCCGCCACGGGCATCGTCGAGTTCTGGGTGAACGGGAAGCCCTTACCCCGGAAGGGGCTGCAAAAAGGCTACTCCATTGGTGCCGAGGCTGTGATCATCCTGGGCCAGGAGCAGGACTCCTTCGGGGGCGGGTTTGATTTCTACAATTCTTTCATGGGTGAAATGACTGATGTGTACATGTGGGAACATGGTCTGTCGCCAGGCAAAATGAGGGCTGCCTATCAGTCTCTGACGCTGCCGCCTTGCGCTCTGGGCTGGCGGAACTTGCTGTATGAAATAAAAGGGGATGTGGTGGTGAAGCCCAGACTGAGAGATTGATCGTATGAGCACCGGGCTGCTTCGGGCACCGCGCAGCCCCATGGAACTCCCAGGATGCACCATGGTGTCTCAGAAAGAGGGGAGACGGATGCATCCTGGGATATGTAGACCCAGGTCAACAAGGATGTTTGGAACACCAGAATTACCGCTCGTGTGAGCAGGGCTGGAAGGAGGCATGGGCGAGCCAGGCAGCTGCCCGGGGCACCAACCGATGGGGGGCGCCTGATGGCAGCTGTAAGGGGCGCGTGGCATCCCTTACAGCTGCCATCAGGTGCCGCGCACCCGGCTCCCGCAGCGCCAGCCCACCCGCATCCCCACGGCACTGGCCAGCAATGCCTTTCCCCACATGGTCACGGGGCCCTACACGGCCCGGCGCGTGCACCAGCAGCAACAGCCGGGCCGGACTGGGCTGCGCTTGCGCCATGCATCCTAGAGGTGGGCCCCAGGCTGCATGCCAGCAGTCGTAGCCGGGCCACGCATGTGCCGTGCGCCCCGGGGGCAAGCCTGCACACCCTAGGGGAACGGGCTCTCTCCCCATGGGCAGGCCCGCAGATGTGCCGTGCGCCCAGGGGCACCACTGCACACCCGTGCCCGGGGCGTCAGAATACCTTGGGCCGGCCCTGCGTGTGAGACACGTGGCTTCCTCCCCTGGGGGCAGGTCCCGGGATGGGTCAGTGGAATTCAGGATGGGGACGGATGTAGTAAGAAAAAAGCCTGAAACATCAGCCCATAAATCACAGTCCTGGTGTGAGGCCTGAAGCCTAGGCAACAATGATCAAGACTTTGCTAATATAAAGCTACAAGAAAGAGGCAGCTCTAGCTCACAGAATGTGGCAAGAACAGGGCTGATAGTCAGAAACAGAGTCTACACTAGGGAATTATTTTGAAATAATCCCCCTTATTTTGAAATAATAAGTGAAGTGTCCACACTACCAAGCCCATTATTTCGAAATAACGGGCTGGTTATTTCAAAATCTGTAGTCTTGCTTTCCTCAGGGACTCTAAATCAAGGTAGCACGTCCACAATAATGGAGCCTGCCTGGGACTAATTTCGAGGCTCCCACCTCATGGGAACATGCTATTTGGACGTTAGGAATTATTAAGAAAGGGATAGAAAATAAGACAAAGAATATCTTCGGGTACGTCTAAACTACAGCGCTAATTCGAACTAACATAGTTCGAATTAGTTAATTCAAACTAAGCTAATTCGAACTAACACGTCTAGAACTAAAAACTAGTTCGAATTAGCGTTTTGCTAATTCGAACTAGCATGTCCACATTAAGTGGACCCTAAACCGGGCTTAAAGATGGCCGGAAGCAGTGCCGGCAGGGCATCAGAGGAGGACTTAGAGCGTGGAGATGCTGTCTCAGGCTAGCCGAGGGCTGCGCTTAAAGGGTCCCGACCCCCACCCCGGACAGACAGTTCTAAGGGGTGCCCCGCTTGCAAAGAAGTTCTGGCTTGGAGTGCCCTGAGTGCCCACACTGGGCACATCACACCACTCGGCCATCAGCCCGGCTGCACTTGCCGCAGGCTGCCATCTGGGGAGAGGGAGTAATTGGGGGGCTGCAGGAGAGCTTCCACCCCCAGAAGCCCGCAGAGCCAGCCCAGTCCTCCCCATCGGGGGCTCGTACCCCATTCCTCCCTCACCTCCTTCCACTTACCCCTCCCTAGCCCCCCTTC